AGGCGGTGCCGAAATAAATTAGAATATCGTGTCCATTGGCGTGGATATGGTATTAGTGAACGTACATGGGAGCCAATAAAGAATCTTGCAAATGCAGCAAAGGCGGTGGAGGCTTTTCATCGACGACATCCATCAAAATCAAGATGAAAACCTTCTTTATAAAAGAAACAACATCTAGGCAAGATAACATTCTACTTTTAATTCTTGTTCATAGCTTCTTTGTAGTAGTGACGCTCAAGAGATGGAGAACCAACAACCAGCGGATTCGACTCAAGAGCCTTTATTTGCTGACCTATCGGATGAGACATTAGAATTGTCACAACCTTCAAGATGACGCAATCAAGATGAAGATCTTCAAGGACGACATGTTCTTCCTCGAATAGATGGCGAGATACAACGCGTTTGGTATCACGATTTGGGAAAGGACTCTCGATGTTTAGTGATTGTGCTAGAGGTAGGAACAACTCCTGATGGTGTTCCAAATATTCTATTCGAAGGAAGTTATGAAGGCCTCAACATTGATTAAATAATTGGGTGGTCTTCCCGCCTTGGTATGGGACACTACCGATAGTTGAGAAGCCCTATCAATCATCTTCGAAGTGAACAAAGATCAGAGTATGTGGCAAATACAATTCGTTGCATGATAGATTTCGTCAACATATGATGACCACTCCTCGTAGAACTCGTTCCTAGAAGGCGGGGTAATGTCACAGACATAATCATGTAAGCTAGTAATTTCACATACAAATAGGTAGAAGTAAGTAAAAGTAAATAAAAGTAAGTTAATTCTATAGTATTAAATATGGAAGCTTCCTAGAAGCTTAATAGATGCTGCTTTGACTTCATAGATGTCTTTAATTGACTTTTTGGATTAGAAACGTAGTCAACAAGTTGGCCATGTGCTATACATGTTGTTAGCTTGAAGATCAAGCTAACTATGTGGCCCACACATAGAAAAACTTGCCTTGTAAGTCAAGGCATGTGTCCTACAAAGTCAACACATATTGGAGGTCCTATAGAACATTGCCACGTAGCCCTTAGTTAGATAGTATATATAGAGACAAGAGTGAAGGCTTCTTCACTCTTGTCAACTCCTTTCTTGCTTCGAGTCTAGTTTCAAGGGTCTCTAGTTTTCTTGTCTTTTGGCAATAGCCATTCCAGTTTTTCTTTCAATATACATACTTGTTTATTTATATTTTGTTACCTTTCTTTGAGTGAAGGCTCACTTGTCTGAATTTTTTTTCCATCGAGTTCTTGTCCTTGACATCATGTCACATTCATCTTAAGATTAAAAATGAAGAAAATTGAGAGATTGAAATAAATTATTAGGTGGCCTCTTGTTATTAGAATTAAAATTTTATATTATTGTTATAGATAAGAATGTTATTCTTAAAATATAATATTTTAAAATTTATATTTGAATGTGATTTTTAATATTAAAATATTTTTATTTTTATATGAATATTACTTTAATTATATTAATTATTATTTCCTAAAATATAAAAAATATAATTAGTATTTATGTGTTAAAGTTCTAATTGAACTATTATTATAAATTTAAAAGAGATAATAATAGAGTATAAAAATCTTCTTATACTATTGAAATCTTAGTTTGTATTTGTTGATTACAATTTATATCACTAACATTCTTTATCAACCTAAGATCTATATGAAATTAAAAAATTACAATATGTATCATTATATTAAATAAATTTTACATGATTTCATTTATTTTTATTTTTATTTTCTAAATAAATTAAACATTATTTTAGTCATAGATGACTTTTTTATTTTTAAATTTTTTATGTGGTTCTTTAAAGTTTTTTTTTATGCATTTGTTTATTTATTCCAATTGCTTGCATTATGAGTAAGTTGTTGTATTTATAATTTGCAATCTCTTCTATATTTTCTTTGAAAAAGAGTCTCTTGAGTTGAGGCCTCTTGTATTTATCTTGTTGCTCCTATTCTTATTTCAAATCATTATGAAGTCTTCTTGATCTCTTGTATAGTTTTTGTCAAAGACATAGATCATAAAAAACTCTAAAAAGATAGTACACTCTTATGTTAGTCAAAGATAGAAAGTTAAAAAAATAAGACACTAGTACAAAACATAACGAAATTTGAATAACTTTTGACAATTACAAAAAAACTAGAGTCTTGAATCATAACTAAAATATTAAAAAATGTATTGACAAAATTGAGAATGGTATAAGATTTGAGAACAAATACAAATCTTATAAAGACCAACAAGAAAGCATTAAATCATCATCTTTATGTGAGCAAATACCGAATGGTATAAGATTTGTATTTGTTCTCTAAATGTACCACATAATTTTTACCTTAAATTGTATTTTAATCACATGTTATATATGCATAGATTGATACCTTTATATATAAAGCATGTATTTAGTATAAAAATAGTATTTATATCTTTTGTTAAATATGTCTTTTATATGTTGTATAAATTAGGTTTTTTCTATTTTATTTAATTAATTATTTAAATAAATTAGATAAGTTAATGCAAAAACACAATCTATCATTCCCAACAAAGATATTACAGAACTTCTTTGGTATGTGACATGGCTATATCTATGTCCAAATTATTTAGCAAAAAAGAATATGATAGAACTTATTTGGTATATGAGATGGCCATAGTCACTTCCAAATCACTTAACCTAAACCAACAATCCAAAAACCCCCAATAATTTAAATAGACCTCTTCTTCAATCTAAAAGAGCTATTATCTCATGGCCAATTTGAATCTAAAAGTTGGAAAAACTTAACAAATACTTAAAAATTAAATCCAATTTATGTGACTTTAGAGGATTTAATATTTTTTGCTTTTGTCAAAGCTACATACCTTGCAAAAAATTTGATAAATATTTACAGATAAACCCTAATTTACAGATTAGGGTTTGATGGCAAGCGTCGTCGTTCATGTTCAGAATTTGCCTTTCGAAGTTGCAGGTCAAGCATCGATGCGTCGATTAAACCGTTGTACGTGCGATTCTGACGACACCGTTGCCGATTGTGTCCGGCACTGGAAGCATCTGCACTGTGGGTTTTCGTGTTTTATCGACACCGAAACGGGCTCTCGGCATTGCTCGCATGAAGATGCCGATTCCTCGCTGGGGCAACGAAGCTCTTGCTGCGACCTTTTCGTAGATCAATGTTCCAGGCAATCCGATGTGAGAGTAGACCAACACCTTAGACGGGTGTTGCAGTTTTTTGATACATGTGGATGAGGAGGAATGTCGCATAACCACGGAAGCATTGCGAGTGTTGTGGCTTCGGCTAGTCAGGCAAAACACTAGCCGGCGCAACCGTTGCCTTGCGTTGCATTGAGAAAAGGAGGTTGTGTGCCTTCCCTCGGGACCCAAGTAGTGATTTCTACGGCGTGGAATTATCGACGTGCATTTGCGCAAACGCACACGGTCCCGATGGTGTGAAATCGAGCACAGATGACGATCAGGAGTTGCGACATTCGCAGCGGACGTGGTAACCGGGCAAACACTTCGAAGGAGCACTCGCTGGGAGCAACGCGTGCTTCGGCGCTCAACATGTTGAATGATAGGGGCCTCGTATCCGAGCTCGCTTGTTTCAGGAGGTGGAAAAAGTTACGACGGGCGCGACATGTCAGCATGAGGTTTGTTCTATTTGCGGCAAAGAATAATCTGGGATGCCATGCTATCCAGATATTCAAGGACTGATGGGAGACTCCACAAGCTTCGGTGATGGCAAATATCATGGTGCGGGGAGCATGGGCCCCGGCGTCGTGGCTACACTGCAAGAGCCAACACTAAGTCATGCAATTGCGTGGTTGAAGCCATCGAAGTAGAAAGCCGAGCGAGAAACCCATCATGCAGAATAGACAGGCGTTTCTACATCCCTCGTGCAAATTGTGCCACCCCAGAAATACAACGAACGAAGGGAGACAAAAAAACATTCGATCACGACACATTGAATGCGGAGGCAGGCGCAGACGGCATGGCGCTGAATTAGGAGCGGCAACCAGACAGGCAAACCACGGCCATGTGGCTTCCACCGCGCTCGTGCAGAATTAGCACGAGTTCGGATACGCGGAGGGATAGCGAGAGGCTAACTTATTTGATAAGGGGATTTGGTCCATAGAATGTTCGATCACGTCAGAGCTACTGCGCGGCGAGGTTCGCCTGATCGAAATCCCCCCCCCCCCCCCCCCCCCCGCATCCTCCACGTTACCTGAGCGCATTGGCCACGACGCTCACTCACACATAGTTCCTTCCGAATAAAGGTCGATTCGAAGCACTATTTGTTCTCCCTCAGCTCTTGGAGCAATTGCGAGTCACAGTCCGAATGGATCTTTCGCAAATAGAATGAAGATTTCTGGCTCTACGGGAGTTGCATGGTCTTCGGCAACTTCAACACGGCATTTGACACTTCACTACAAAGACACTATTCTGTCATTTAGAATGGCAGTAACAACAGATGTCCGTCATCGTCGTTATCTTAATAAATGCGTCCTTTCGACGTCGAACCACAGTGGAGATGTTCGCTGCAAAAACTGGATGAATCTATCCATTTATAAGCAAGGGATTTAGAACAATAACTTCGTTTGTTTCTCCATTTGTCTGGTTCGTTGTTCGTTTGTCACAAGTGAACTTCCAAAGACCTTCAGATGAAGGAAGCTTTTCTTCACCGATGCTTGAAGTAAAGATCACTTCTACTTTTTTAACAGAAAGGATCCCCCTTTAGCATTGATTCGTGGAGTGAAATCTAGAGATCCTCGGAGAGAGGATGGGCAGTTGGGGAACTGAAGAGAAAGCTCGTTGACGAGGGAAGTTTTCAACTGCGGCTTCGACGAAGAGTAAAATGGGAAGGATGAGGATGTGGGGCCCGGGGAAAACGAGCCCCAGGCACTTTTGTGGAAAGCGTGGAGTGTGAGAACGCGAATTTGTGGACACCAGGAGCAGAAGAGCTGGAGTGTCAAACATGGCGCGTCGGCAAAATCTCTACAGTGAAAGAAGAAGCCACACCAAATCTTGCTTTTCAGCTTCCGCCACTAATTAAAGCCTGAGCTTTTGTCGCCTTGGACTTACAGCAGGATCAGAAAGGAAATCTCTTTCACCGCGATATCTGGTCGTCTTTGCTGTATCTCTCTGGCGCTTGTGCATTCCACATTCAGTAAGCAATGTGCTTTTAAGTAACGTGAGCTTTATCACGAAATTGACGAGTTCGGTCTCTTTATAGTCGATTGCGTCCGTGACCCCTGTTTACATGGATCGCAGTGAGATCTCGTGAACATGGCCATGACTCCTGTGGGTTGTCCGACGCAGACTCGCAGCAGGACATTTGTTTGACTTTCCAGTTTCAAGTCATTTTTATTTGCCATGGAGGACTTGCTTTCTTTTTACTGCATCCCTCTTCTGGTTGCATCATTGGAGCTTCTGAGGGTATTGTTAGGTGCGTCGCTGGTGTCGTAGGTTCATGCGCAGTAAGGGAGACTCTCTTTTGACCATTTTTCTTCATGCGCTCAAGCTTGTGAGGGCTGCTTAAGGGTGGAGCTTCTTTTTCGTGGTTTTTTTTTGTGAGGAAGAGGGCGCATTGAGGATGGTGATCCGACTCTCGCCAGATCTGTTGACTTCCATCGTAGCGATTCCACACTTTTTTTCTTTCTTTCTTTTTCCTCTTTTGTAGCTGTTTCGAAAGCATGAGTCTGGGCCGATTCTGCGATCGTCTGGCCCCTTTTTGAAGATGAGTAGCATCCTTTTGGGAAAGAAATTCTGCGTGACGCTGCTCTGGTGTGGTTGGAGTAGCAGCTGACACGAACTTGCAAATCCTCCCATGGAATATTGTTGCAGGTATGGAGATGCATGCACTCGTCTTGTGTCTACTTGACAGGGTTCACTGTTTTCCATGATTTGCTTGTCGAGCTTATGGGGGGTTGAACCTTGTGAGACAAGTCTGCTTCACTGTCTTTCCTGTATAAATTGTCGGCACCCGCGAGTTTGATGTTTTTGAGGGAATCCAATCTCGATAGCTTTGATTTTGTCCCTTTCGGGTTTCATGATTTTGCAGAGTTGTCGAGGGTTCTGTATCGGTTGTTCTGAAGTTGTTGCAGATTGTGTAGTTGAATAAATCTGAGGTCTGAGGTGTTGAATGGGACAAGTACTAATTCTTTGAATGCGTAAAATTCAAGCATGTATTTGTTGTTATTGAAATTCCATGTAATCTATGTAGACTACTGAAAAAGTGTGAGACGTTGTCATCAAAATATGCATCTACACCGTACTAGTTGATGAGATTGGTTGCGTCCATTGCTATCTCTTCGTGCGTGAGGTGCTTGTAGATCAAATTTGCTCTTACTAAACACATTAGATCATTTCGATTGTACATTGTATGTGCAATCACCAGGTTTATGTTGGAGTCGCTTGTCGATGTTCAGCACACTATTGAATGTATTCTTTTATAACTTTTTGTAATTATTTTGCTTTGCTGCGCAGCGGTCAGGGAATATCTTTAGTTGCATAACACGAGCAGTCTGCGGTGGTATTTGTCACAGAAAGTCGAAGATTCTTCGGGGAGTTGCTTTTAAGTTAATGATGACTGGAGTTCAAGAAGTAATCGCAGAAAGAACAACCATCTGTTTCTAATGTAGCAATAAGCCTCGATACATTGGTTGAAGTAATCGATACATGGTTCAGAGGTTTTAAATACAAAAGGAGATGGAACTTGTTTTAAATACTAATTTGCAATCTGATATTAACATTTAGTTTAGTACATAAGAAGATCAATGAGTGTGCATCCCTCGGCTCTAGCGGCAATGGTGCGGAAATCTTTGAAACCAGAGGTGCCAGCGGGGTCTGTTAAACTGAACTCTTTCCTAGTTTCCAAACCTCGGAAAGTTTCGGAGTTTGCAAAACACAAAAAGTTGAAAGAGACGGGTTCCAAAAAATCAAAGAAAACACGGCAGAGCAATTCTGAGCCATCAATTGCGAAACCGCAACTCTCATCCAGTGCTGAAGATCCAGTTCAGCGGAAACTGGTGGGGGAAAAGACAGCTGAATCTATAAACCTTATTTCTGCTAGCATAGAAAGTTATTGTGCGGATCCAGTTCATAATGATCTTCTGTCAGAACTGGTAGGAACGAAACCAGTGCCGATGATCAGCTCTTCTCAGTATCACGTACTTACAGTGGATGACAGCCGTATTGATCAAAGAGTTGTTGAAAAGCTTCTTATGACATCGTCATTCAAAGGTCATAATCTTTACTCGCTTCCTATTAAATTTTGAATAATCAGTTCTATATTAACCTGCTGGACTAATTCTCTATAAGAGTGAAAACTAGTTTTGTTGGCCTGACGTGCTTACTCGTATCATCATTTTATGCAGTTACCACTGTAAACAGTGCTTTGAGGGCTTTGGAGCTCCTCGGACTTTCAGATAGCTGCCCCAGTTCTGTCAAGGTACTTATCTACTTCTTGAAGAGTTTGGTTTCGACGCAAAAGTCTTTTAACCAAGACCTTGTATGCGCTTTGATACGAAGTTTTTTGTATTTGTTTAATCTTAGTGGTTAAATCTTGTTTCGAAATTGAGAAGAAATTGATTTTAATTTTTGCAGAAGCCAGATATCAATTTAATTATGACGGATTACTGCATGCCGGAGATGACTGGTTACGACCTTCTAAAACGAGTGAAGGTACATGATCTCCTGTCCTTGACAATTTTTATTGCAATTCTTTTCGTGCACATAGTGTTTTCTTCCCTTTGGTTAGACCATGGAAAACGAAATGTCCGATTCCTTTTCCTGTATGCGCTTGGTTTGAAGAGCATAGAATCAAGTGGCTAATGAACATGCCCACAGATCGAGTTCTGGCGTATTGTATCTGCCATTTGCAGAATCATAACAAAGTGTTGCTTCCAATGTATTCCTCAAATCTGGTTCATGTACACGCAGCATACAAGAATAGCAACACACTGTCTAATCTAGTGTTGCAGAGTGCTCCTCTTCGCCTCAATTATCATTAACAGGACTTTTCAATGTTCACGACTTCTTGAGTGTGTGCTGGTCTGTGTCCGTATTCCCTCTGCCAGAAGTCTTGGATGGTTACTAAGCTCAACAAAAAACTGCTACATTTTCAGGCTGACACATCAGCATTGAAGGAAATTCCTGTCGTGGTCATGTCTTCAGAAAATGACAGTATTCGCATCGAGAGGTAATCAGCACTGTTCCACCAACCAAACATATTGGAAATTTTGATGTTGACATTGGAAGTTTTGAAGTCTAGAACTGGCTGATTTGTAATTTAACCAAACAAGCTGCTTACCAGATGCCTAGCGGAAGGTGCCGAGGAATTTATCATCAAGCCGGTCCAAATGGCAGACGTAAAACGGTTGCGGGGCCATTTAAGGCCTGTCAACAGCACTTCGGGATCTTCTTCAGCAACTGCCAGTGGAAGCTCAGATTTTACTTGTGGGTCCAAGAGGAAAGCGGAGTCATCAGACCCCCAAGAAGTGAACAGTTATGAGAGAAAGCCCCACCCGAGTGAAGTATCTGTTGCATAACCTCAAAACTTGGTTCTATCTCTCAGGATTGGGCTTTATGGTCTGTTTCTGGATGCTTGAGGTTTGCCATCCGAATGGAGACAAACTCCACAAGAATTATAATTGTCTTTGGTTGTTAAAGCAACCCGGAACACCTTGTTTCGTGCCTCGTTTATACGAGTCACTATTCTTTAGAATGATAAATTTGTCGACAAATTAACATATGTAAATAGACGAGCCATGCATTGGAAAGGTAATATGATGCTATGCAACGTTCTTTAGGGAGGTTCTGGGGTGTAAGAAGTGCAGACAATTTTTGTAGATGGAGAAACCATTCAAGTGTGTGTAGAGGAGGGAAATTTCGAAACAGTGGGTTTTGAGCTTTGCTTATTCTTATACATTCTATTTATTAAGAGAGTTACCACTGATCTTTCCCATTAACAGTGTGATGAGTCTCTGGCATTCGCCTGGTTTGCTGATAAAATACCACGATATGAACTCACTTACACTTAATCGAGATTACCCAGTGTAGCTATGTGATTTACACACATTATTTTTCTTAGCGAGCAAACAAGAGCCTATTAACTTGTGTCATGGCAGACATGACGAAGTGAAGAGCCTCACCAGCAGAAGAGGTTTTAAAAATGTACTTAAAGTACAACTGGTGACAAGGTGAGGTTTCCTGTCTGAAGTGTGCACCTAATGCCCATTGTTAGGAGAGTTAGAGTTTTTATCGTGGTGTGAATGATGTCGGCTACTAGGTATTTAGAGGGTTACCAGTAATCTTCCCTGCATTTCCTATGCTGATGTATCGGCACTGAAACATGTCTAACGGTGCAAAGAGAATGCGAGTGTAACAGATAATGACGAAATTGTAAAAAAAAATCTAATCAAGTTGAAAGGTTATATTACAGTAGTTTCCCGGCATAATTGGTAATCTATGAACTACGAAATAAATACCTTCGTGAATCGTTATGTACAAAGCTACTCTACAAGGTGAAGTTCAAAGTTCATATTTTCGTTTCGGCAATCCGCATAATTTAGCAGTCTTAACCCTCCTCTTCGGAGTGTGTCGGCTACTGGGGATTTTGTGTTCGAGGTTCTCGATCATTTTGTGAAGACGCATCGTTGCCGAGCTTTGCCACTGACTCCACTTTAGAACATCTCGAAGGACTGCTTTCAATATTGTATTTTCTTCGATCAAGTGCTGCGTGAGATTTTTTTGTGAACTTTCAGAATCTGATGATGGAGAATTGGTGGTTAGGCTGTGATTTTCAGATTCGTCCATACGATATGCCGAGCCTCTCAGAACATGTAGAGCGCCTGCACTCAATGAGATTGGATTGGGAATGTGAATATCCTCTGCGATTCTCTTTGATGTGGGAGAATGAGAAGACATCGACGATCTCGCATCCCGCAGCTCCTCTGCAGGATTGAGGTTGTCGAGGTATCCTTGACCTCTATTGTTGAGGTTCTGGAGATCGGAGATTGCAGACTCTAATTGTGTTAATTGGTCACTGACGGAAACTTGTTCTTCAAGGTTAGGGCTTTGGAGATGGGAAATAGTCGATTCTTGCTGCAAATCTTCTATAGATGAAGGAGAATTTTGAGTTGACTCTTGCATCGCCATGGTAGCCACAATTGAAGGCATCTCGGAAGTAGATTCGTCCCGCACAATGTCGGTGGTGCTCTCAGTAAATATAAGTTCCACAGAATGCAGAGCATTTGCAGTATCCAAGATTGAAGTTGGACTGTTAGTCTCAGTTATTTTCTTCTCAGGTGTGAGGCACTTATCTGAAGTTTGAACGTTCACTCCCTCAGTTACATCGACGCTCTCTGGTACCACAGACTGGTCAGAGGATTTTGCGACACCCATTTGTGGTTCCGACTCAGAGGTGCCCGACTCAACCACTCCTCCAAAAGAATTTGATCCTACCACCGGAATTACCTCTATACCCGATCGTGACCTGCTGATACCATCAAGTGAGTTCTGCGATGATGAAGAATCATTACATGGAATACCCAAATGCTCCGCGTCGACGCAAGCAGCCACACTTAACTGCGGACCATTCTCTATATCAATGTCATCCTCAGTCTTGTTGTCCTTCTCATTCTCTTCATTTAACGACAACTGCCCTTTTTGGGATGAATCAAACGTTTCAACATTGGGTGACCCGAGCACACCATCTGCTGTCGTAAGTTGCTGTGGGGCTCCATCAATCGTCGATTCTCCCTCTGGCACGCCAAAAACCTCATTAACAAAGGATGTAGTTGAATCGAGACCTGTTGCATTATCAGAAGCCTCATCATCAACTGCCACATTATTTTCATTACTCTCTTCCGAAAATACCAAAGCAGATACTTGATCTGTTTTGATGTCTCCGTTACTTTCGTGTCTCACAAGTTCATTGCTCCCAAACTTGTGTTCTGGACAGGACGTATTGCTCTGGTTATCAGTCTCACACTGATTTGAATGCAAAGATAACGAAGTTTCCTCTCCTTCGAATTCAGGTCGAATTGCAACATCTCTTTCCAGAATGTCTGTGTCACTGTTCCGGCCGATAGAATTCGGATCAGCTTCTCTAGGTAAGATACCAGATTCCGCGAAATTGCGCACTGCTGGTGACTCTTCATCATTATCTCGTTTTTGTTCTCTCTCAATATCCTCCTGGTCTCCAACAATCACACAATGGGGAATTTCCGTCACATCAGCGATTGCATCCAGATTCATTGGTTTAGGAAGTGAACCGTTCCCAACACCTAATTTTTCTTGCAAAATCGTGGCATTGATGGTTTGAGCATTTTGACCCCCACCACTCTCCTCATCTGGTGTAGATTGCGCTGGGTTCATCATGTCATCTGAAATATTTATTGCCGCATCCGGGTCATCCGAGGTGCCCTTCCTCAAGTTATGGAGCTCCGATTCGCTTGGAGATGTTGCAGGTTCAGGAATGAGCAATTTGTCTTCTTTACCCGAAGCGTCGCTTGATTTGCCACTTTCTCCAGTGAGTTCCACCCCAACGGAAATGTTCGAGTGAAGACCTTCGCCACTAAAGTTTGCAGAAGAACTAGTGTCTGACATTATCAGTTCTTCTCCCTTGTAAAGAAGTCCCGGAGCAAGGAGCTGAGGGGGCAATTCACGTTCGTTGAGCTGTTTTTTCTCTGTGTCGATACTTCGCTGCTCCTCTAAAACAGAGAGCCTCTTCACCACCTCAGATATCAGTGTCAAATCATCTGCATCTATCAAGGTCTCCCTTTTATTCACTGTCTCGGGTTCCTGGTGACTTTCAAAATCGGGTAGCCTATTCAAAAGCTTTCGTAGTAGGTCCCCTACACGCTCTTCTGTTTGACCTGTATTGTTTTGTGGGACGATAGGTTGAGTCTCGCACGCAGTTTCACTCCGCTCATTGATCACCATTCCCGTGTCATCACTAACAAGAGCGTCTCTATCTTTACAAATCTCAATCGGCTCTGAAGAGTGAATCTTGTTCTCAGTTTCCTCTGACCTAGTCATCACCATTTCCTCGCCATTGCTCACGGGAGCATCCCGACAATCAACATTATGACTTGGTTCTGCTGAATTGGACTCCTGATTTACAGCAAAATCGTTGTTGGCCACATCAGTACTTTTTGCTAGCATGCTCAATTCAGTTGACACATGGTCAGCCTTGTCGATGACAACTTGAGTAGCAGCATCCACCTCGCTTTGCAACTTCAAAACTTCCTTGGAAGTATACTTGCGAATGTCTCTAACAACTGGATCAACTCCCTGCACATGGTATGATATTACGTGAGTTATAACAGTTGATCCCACCAGCGCACCTCCAAACACCTAAGAGGTGATGTAGTTGATAAAAAAAGCGCAAGCTACCTGAATGAGACCTGAAAATTTACCTGTATGCTATCAAGTTGCAATAACAAGCTCATGAGTCCTTCGGAAATTTTGTTCCTCTCCACTGGATCTACACACTTCTTCAGAAACTCGTTTTTGTCCACCAAGAGAGTCTGGTAATCTTTTAACATGAGCTTTACACGAGCGATATCGCGCAAGTGCTTCAACGGTTGATGTCGTCGCACTAAGTGACCCCTCCACACGGATTGTATAACTCTCGCAGCGGTCTCGCTACTAGTAATTGCCACCTTTACATTGGAGGAATGCTTTTTAGCGCCCTGAGGCTCTGCGATGTCACACTCCATGTCTTTCAGCACTCCAGATGTCACTTTCTTTGGTGATACTGGCTTTTCTTTTGCACTCGTCACTACGACCTCCGCCTTCGGTGCAGCCTCATGTGCCTGCCCCATCGGGGCTTTCCTTGCAGGTACCTCCTCTTTCGCACGATCATGTGACGGTATCTGATGAGATTCAGGTTTAGCATGATTTCCAGGAGCAACCTGCTTCTCCTCCTTAAATCCATTTGCATGATTACTATCTTTCTTCTTTACAAAATCTAGCGACGGTACCAGCTTAATGGGTTTGAGTACTGGCGCGGATGACTTCTTCGACTTCTTCACTTGAGAGACAGACTTCTCTTTCGAAGGTTCCGCAACAGATTTCTCTTTCGTAGGGTCCGCAACAGACTTCTCTTCTGGGGGATCCGTTACAGGAATTATCCTGATAGACTTGGGGATGGTAGGTTCTACCTTCTCCTTTTCACCCAGCTTTTCAGATACAATTTTACTCACTGTTTTTGGTGACGAGGGACCATCAACCTTTACGTCCTCTCTTACCTCATGTTTTGCTCCCGATTTCGGAAACAGAAGTGAAAGAATTTGACTATACGGATCTTCAGACTTGGCAGGATGGACGTCGTCACCAATCTTCAGCTTCAGGGGCGAAGAGTCCGGCTTGGCACAATCGTTGGTGGCATTCTCACTTCCCGGTGACGCCATGAGCATCAAAGGTGCCTTAGACGCTGCCGGCATTGCCTTGGGAATCATCCCTGGGAATTTCTCGGGGTCAGGATCTGCAATCGGCACCAGCTTCCATTGCATCCCGGGTTGGGGAGCAGGGAGGATGTATGGCTGGGAGCCACTCATCGCAATGGCAGGACTCTGCCCCTGAGCAGATATTTTTGGAGTCAATGGAACTCCGTAACTATTTACGAACTGAATTCCGCTCGGATCTGAACGCAAGTGACTCGTATCAGGTGCATCGTCCACACGATACATGGGATATCTATGGACTTGCAACGGCTGCCCAACAATAGCTCCGTCAGGAGTTAAGTGCGCGGGGGGGTAAATCCATTGCTGAGGAACTGGCTGAACTCTTGGAACCCTCGGTTGCTTCTCTTGTCTCGTAGCATTTTCACATGCGTCCTGCATTCTGAGTTCATTACGTCGAGCATCCGGAGGTAGAATATTATACACAGGATACGGGTGATAATAATCTTGTAATGCCACCGCATTAGACACAGGAACGCCATAACCAGAGGAAGCATTTGGATAGTAAACGTATTGCGGGGCTCCAGAGTGCTGAGGAATTGGAGACACAGGCGGCGAAACCATATAATACGGCGGTTGTTGAATTGGCAACTCACAAGGCATAGGCACTGCGCCATCATCAATCATCGCCCTAGCCATTCTGTAACCTAATCCCTACCACAGAGCCTAAGAAACTCAATCCCGGGTCTGCACCCGAAAAATTTCCCAGAATCCCAACAATCTATGACCAATTAGCCCCACTCCCAAGCTGATCCAGACTGCGTCGCAACTTCCGGATTCCAATGCAAGCGACTTCACTCACTCACAACGTCTCACAATGAAACCCCGCCAACTTCGCTCCCTCGCCTAGCACCAAATCATAGCGCATCAAACTCCGTCACCGATTCAAATCTCCCCAAAAACCCCGACTCAGCTGCACATCTTCTTGAGGAAAATCATACAAACTCTCGATGCTCTAACACCGCGCAACGTATACACACTCGCGAAATTTCTACGGCAGCTAATGGAACCTTCGAATGAATCTACAAGCCTGATCGCTCTCGAACAAGTTGACATGCGGAGTTGGATGACGACAGAGCGAGTGGGACACAATTTTGTAATGAGCGATGGCGCTCATGTGGCAGGATGAAGGAAAGCTGTGGAAGCGGGACAGAAGGGTCTGGAACCAGGTGGACCTGGCTGATGTGGCACTGCCGGCTGGCAGCTCACAGGGGCGTGTCCGTGGAAGGAAGGGTCTGGAAGCAAGGATGGGGGGGGTATATCGGAATGGTCTTCGAGAAGCCTCTGGAACAGACAGTTCTCATCCATCGCGGCTAGTGTGCTCTACCGCTCGTCACTGGTGGTGTACGTACCTGGATTGATAGCGTCGTCTACTGGATACGTATATAAGCAAGCTGTATACGCTACGGTGTGTGAGAGTCTCATTAAATAGTATTATTAGTTAAATACAAAATTTTAGATGGAAGAAAATTACTGTGTTTCTATGTTAGGATCAATGGTCACAATGGCTTGTAATATGTATGTATGTATATATATATATATATATATATATATATATACTTCTGTAAAAAACCATGTAAATTTTTTTGCAAAGCGACATTCTTATATATAGGCTATATCATTGACTTCTACCACAAGCTATTCACACATACAATACATGGCTAATTTGTTGGTTAAGTTTCTAATCTATTAATCAACTATGAATATGTATAAAGTCATATATGCATTAATGAAGCTTCTAAGAAGCCTTGCTATAAGATAATAGCAAATCTACCTACATTTACCTTATACTTGACACTTCTTACCTTGGAAAACATGTATGTTTGTGATATTACTCCTTCTTCTAAGAACATGTTCCATAAGGAGCGGTCATCATATGTTGAAGTCTAAGATGCAATGAATTATATTTGCAACATATTTTGATTTTTATTCTCTTTGAAGGTGGTTGATAGGTCCTCTCAATTATTAATAGCATCTTATACCAAGGTGGGAACACCATCCTATTATTTGATTATTGTTGAGGCCTTCATAGTTTCCTTTAAAAAAAATATTTATAATACCATAAAGAATTGTTCCTACTTTTAATAAAATTACCAAACATTGAAAGTCTCTTCTGAATTTGTGATATCAAACACATTATATCTCACCACCTAATCAAAGAAGAACATGTTGTTTTTAAAGTTCTTCATTTCTATTTTGTTTTCTTGAAGGCTATAATAATTATAATGTCTTATCTAATGAGTCAACAAACAATAGCTCTTGAATTGAATCATGTTAGTTGTTGATTCTCCATCTCTTTAGTACTACAAACACACAAAAATTACAAATAAGGATAGAAGGTAGAATGCTATCTTCTTTGAGCTTGTTTCTTTTATAGAAAAGATTTGTCATTCTTCATCTTGATTTTGATTAATATTTTCAATGAAAAATCTCACCCTTTTTTACTATATTTGTAAGATTTTTTTTATTAGCTCTCATATGTATTTATTAATATTATGTCTACATTAATAAATAAGATATTCTAACTTATTTTAATGTCACCTTGAATCTAAGATTATATCAAGGATATGAATCTTGAAGAATTGAAAGATCAAGACATTCTTGTGTCATTCAAAAAGAGTAAAAAATCACTCAAGGATAGTATTATTTTGAACTACAAAGACTATTGCCAAAGACAAAAAGATTAGAAAGTCATAAAACAAGACTAAAGAGTAAAAAGGCATTAACAAGAGTGAAGAAGACTTCACATTTGTCTCCATATATACTATCTCACTAAGTGCTACATGGCGATGTTCTATAGGACCTCCAATATGTATTGACTTTATAAGATACATGTCTTAACTTATAAAGCAAGTCTCTTATATGCGCACCATAATGTTAGCTTATATTATAAGCTACTAATACAAGCAACATGTGGGTAGCTTATTAGCTAAGTTTCTAACCTATTAATCAACTACAAATACATATAAAGTAAAATATATTATCATAATATAATTATTTATAGTATGTAAAAATTAATTAAAATATATAATATATTTATATATATTGATGTATATTAGAGTGGTTAATAGGTTAATTTAAAAAGAATTGATATAAGAAAATTTATTTTAAGTTTTATTTATTTTTATTATAGTATTTAAATTATATAGTCCTAAGGACTTAAACCAAGGATCATAAGGTTTAGAGTTTGGACTATGATTTTTGTACAAATTTTAGAGGGTTTGGAATTAAGATGATGAAGTTATAGTCATTTGAAGTTAAGATATCTTTTTAAGATGTATTTTTGCTCTTTTAAGGATATAAGGAGTTAGACGATGGCTTTTGGAAATTGAGAGGTACGGCCATAAGAGTGATTTTAAGAACTACATCTTTTGTAAAATAATTTTTATATTTGAAGTTTGTATAAAGAATTTATATGAAGTTAAAGACAACATATGAACTTCAAAGGTAATATGTGAATTGTTTTGTTGACAGTAATGGTTGGAGTCATATCTTGAGTTTTCAAATGAACTTTTAGCTCAAAATTTTTAAGAAGTGAATTATAAGATTAAAAATCTACATACCAAATTTTGTGGCATTTGAATTCTTAGTTTGTGAGATATGAAGAAATTTTCATGTAAGTGTATGTAAACAAGGATTTGAAGCTACTATTAGGATTTTGGCAATATATCAAGATTTGTAACAAATTTGAGCTTGAAATTTATTATCGTAGTTGTTTAAAGTACATTAGTAGTTCACGTAAATTTTTAGTTTGTTTGGATAGTCCGTTCCTGAGATATGATCTATTGAAGTTTGGAAAAAATTCATCTTAAGGATATATAAGGATTTAAAATATTTTAATATATTTTAAATATTCTTTGATACTTAAAGCTTATGTATTGATATAATTGCTTTTATAGGGATATTTTTATATATAAACTTGATGCTTTTCTATCTTAAGACTTAGTTGAGTAGTTAATGACAACCAAAAGCCTAACACTTTTTCAAGGCAAATTCTCTCTATCCTCATGACATGTCTATGAGGCTTCTAAGAAGCTTTGCCAGAAGATAATATCAAATCTACCTATATTTATCTTCTATCTAACACTTCTTATATATGTAAATATATATATCTATGACAAACTTCTTATACTTCAAATTCTTAATTATTATCCACTTCTATAAGAAGAAGTGGCATTTATCTTTTTCTTTGGGTACTCATTGTCTTATATGGCTCAAGAAGAGAAACATGAAATACAAGATGGATCTTAATAAATTCCAATAGATGTAATTGATAAGCAAATAAATTGACTTCTTTACAAATAAGAAACAGTTGAAGCCTATAGTTGTCAAGGACAAGAATTTGAAGAAAAAGTAATTCACACAAAAGAGCCTTCACTCAAAGAAAGGTAAAAAAATATAAATAAATAAGTATGTATATTGAAAGAGAAACTAGAATGACTATTGCCAAAGACTAGAAAACATGAAGACTCTTGAAACTAGACTAGAAACAAGAAAAGAATTCACAAGAGTGAAGAAGGCTTCACTCTTGTCTCTATATATACTATCTAACTAAGGGCTACATTGTCGTATTACGTGCTTTCCTGCTCGAGAACGCGTCAGACGTCCGGCTGTAGAAGATAGTATGGAGATTCGCCAATAGTCAAGCAGTCTATCATATTTTGACTGCTGGAATATAAACGACTGCAAGAATACACCGTAAATCTATACGGATGCCCTTCGACTGCTTGTCGAAGTCCTTTTTGCCGCAGCCGGTAGGTCTCTAGACGTTATAGAGAACCCCGAACAACCCAATCTACTAATCTCCGATACCGCTTTGTACTTATGATCTTGTATCCACTGACTATCTTGTTAGATTAACCCAATAAATTTCATTCACTCTGCATATTCAATCCTATAGACACCCTTTTAATTCTTCAATCACAGACGTAACTCGATTTCACAAAACAATCAAGAGTAATCAAACTCACTTCATTAAAAAATCCCGATTCACCATTACAACACTGACTTCAGCAATGATTGCCTTAGTCTTCCCAAAACTCTATGAAGAAGAAAAATCCAATTCTCCGTCTTCTCTTCCCCGACTCGAAGCATGAAGCTCCTCTCCAATCCCTTTGATCTTTAAAAATCTCCAATGAAACCGAACTAGTAACCTTCAAAAAAAAAAGCTTGAAGCTAGCTCTGCGATCCAAAAAAAAACCCCCCTAAAACTTATTCTTCCCCTAACCTTATCCTCTGAATTTCTTCAATCTTTCGTCTTGGATCCAAAATTGGCTCCCATCGTCAGAGCTTAGATCCAAAATTGGCTCCCGCCGTCAGAGCTTCCTCCTCCGTTTTTACCTTTAAGAAATCTATTTACCAAAAACAACGTTCACTGAAACGGCACAGAGAATAGGACAACCTGAAACAGAATCGAAACCCCGTACTCGGGTCCACATTGAGTCGCCCGACCAATTCAGGTCTCATATTGGGTAAGATGCCCGTAGTAACCTAGATGTTCGCGTAATTGGGTCAAATTGGTCCTTTGCGTCAGACTGGCTGAGGCCCGTAGTAAGACCTGGATTTTCCTGTAACTAGACTGCATTAGGTTGCCCGATCAATGCAGGTCTCATATTGGGTAAGATGCCCATAGCAACCTGGATGTATCCGTAATTGGATCAAATTGGTCCTTCGCGTCAGACTGGCTGAGGCCCGTAGTAAGACCTAGATTTTCTCGTAACTAGACTGCATTGGATTGCCCGACCAATGCAGGTCTCATATTGGGTAAGATGCCCATAGCAACCTGGATGTTCCCGTAATTAGACTACATTGGGTTGCCCGACCAATGCAGGTCTCATATTGGGTAAGATGTCCGTAGTAACCTGGATGTTTCCGTAACTAGACTGCATTGGGTTGCTTGACCAATGCAGGTCTCATATTGGGTAAGAGGACCCGGATTGAATTCTTGAAATTGGATCCAATTGGCTCTTCGAACCAAGCTCATCCGTCGTGTGAATTGGTCCTTTCTCTTCCTGCTAACTCCCGTTATTGGAATCGAATGAAGCATTTCAGTATGCCCCGGCTG